TACATTTCCTAGCTTTCTTAGGAGAAAAATGATGGCGCAAAATTCTAGAAATCGGACTTTAGAGCAATTTGGGGGCTAAATTTTGAAAGTAAAAACTTTGAAGGGTATTTTGTTTTATTCTTCTACAAGAATATAGCTCAATGAGTGCAAAAAAACTTAAAACGGTATTATTATCGCACGTATTGATAGTAAAACATGCCTGTTTAGTTGGTCTACGGTACGGACAAAAAATTTAACTTCCAGTGATAAAAGAGGCCAAAAAAAAATTTCTGTTGAAAACGAAGATTGACCACTATTAAAATCGACTCTCATAGAGTATGAGGACTTCAGAAAACATGCTGAAGTCTTAAAATAACTAAAGTCACTTTTTTAAAAAACGATGGCTCCAAGAGCAAAACTTATTTGATTCTACTCTATTGGTACATTATGTTGTCTCTGAAAAGAACCAAGAATAGTAGTTTTTTTTTTAAATGTAATTCAGTAATCCTATACCGTAAATTTTACATTCTACTCACTCATTAAAAATTAAAACCTAAGTTAATAGAAAAAATGTGGTAACTAACTGTGAGCTGTATACAGTGTTCGAAACTCACCTTTGAGTTTCAGGAGCCATGTGGCATATCAAGCTTGATTTTTAGGGGCCAAATTGGACCGCGTCAAACAGAAAGGAACCAAACCACATCAGCTATTGCCAAATTTAATCGGCTAATTCAATTTTTTACATGAAAACAGTTGTGCGGATTTTAGTGCAAATTTCAGTGAATTTTCTCCATAGTATGAAGCAAATTCCTTAACATTTTCAAAGGAATCCGCACAAACGTTTTCTCGTGAAAAATTAAATTGCCCCGTTAAAATTGGCAATAGCTGATGTGGCTTGGTTCCTTTCTGTTAAATGCGGTCCAATTCACTTTTTGCCTGTACATCACGGCGCATTTAGGGAAAAGTTTGACGCAAATGTTTTAGTTACAGAACTATTAGCTATAACTTGGGAGAGATTTCGAAAAATCACTTAACAGAAAAATTGGGAATTTTTTGGGGGGGAGGAGGGGGTAATTTTTTAGGGGCCAGGTTGGCGCAGAGCCTTCATTTTTTAGGTGCCATGACCTATTTCGTAGGCGCATTTGGCACGTTGGTGCCTGTGAGTTTCGAACACTGGCTGTATAATTGAGCAAGGAAAAAAATCGGAAAATGAAAAAAACTCAAACTCCTAAAATAAATTTAAATAAAAGCCGGTGGGTTTCAGGACCCCTTTTTCATAAGGGAACCCTTCAGGAGTCTTTTAAAGTTTGACAAAAGTTTCAAAGTCCTTGTTCGAAGCAGTGTTTTCTTCTGAAGAAGGGACTGTGGAATCCTGAAATGCGTTGGAGTTGTGAGTTCAGTTTTTTTAATTTTCTGAATTCTCTCATCCTGCTCTTTCTATTAAAATATAAGTGATCGATCAATGTCATTCCAATCTCGGAATCATAATGCAGAAGTTACTTCTCCCTAGATCTTTCAATGACAGGCCAATAATTTTACCTCTCAAAAATCGTTCATATTGTACTTATGGAGTCCTAAACAAGCTCAAATCTTCTCTCACTTCTTTTTCACTAGGAGCGGAATACAAGCTATTTTCATCCCATAAATCAAAGTTTCTACTATTTTATGTATCCAAATGTCACCCAAAGCTTTTATGTATTTCATTTATTTATTTTTATTGCAGAATGCGACTCGGAAAGTCAAACAGCAAGAACAACTGTTAGCATTGCTCAACTCTCGTTTAGAATTTTTGAACTCAGATTTGCCACTAGTCAAGAAAAGCCCCTTGGAGTCAGGCGCTTTCAATGAGGTGCAAGGTTTACAAAGTGAGTTCCTCCTCTCGCATTTTTATGGTAGATATTATGCTTTTGCATCCGTTACACAACTTGACATTTTTTTTGCCGAGCTGCTTTTATTAACAACAATCTAGGTGTCCATCACAGGCTAAAACAGTTACGGTAACCCCTCCTCTCTGCAGCATGTTTTCATCACATTGTAGTGCAATGAGACTACTCAAAAAAAAACGAATTTTTAGATTAATTTGCGCTTAGATTTTTATATTAGGCGAAACGCATCCGCCTGCAAATGAGTCTAAAAGTCCTTTTTTTGAACCATTGTTTGTGCGAGTCTCGGGAAATTTCATTGAATGACACTACTACCTACAAGTTCATCTTGAAACTATTTCAGGCTTCCCACTGGAATGTCCATGGAATTTCATCACACCAAGGAAATCAGGGAAAAGTTGGGGAATTCCATGAAATATACTGAAAATTTGAAACATCTTGAAATTGGGAGTCTGGAAAAACGTTTGCTCTGTCCACGCAATCAAACTGTCTCAGTCCGGTACAGGGTTCTGTTGTTTGAATAACATGGGAATAGTGAATGGAGGAATACTTTTTAATCAGGAATTGCAGTATTAGTCAATTGAATGATAGAGCTCACACCAAATAAATTTACGCACTTTCAGACTGCAGCAGAAAATCTGCCGTCTTGATTCTTGCATTTAGTTTCCATGCTAAACTGACGTCAGTCATTCTGTCGTAGATTAAAAGTGGGTCTGCTTCTTTAGTGTGGACTTCAAACACTTGAAAAAAAAAGGTACCCCCGTTATTGACAATAGCTGCATTGAACTGCTATTGAAAACTGGAAAGTCTGCAATGTCGCAAACAGAATGTTGTGGTTTGGAAGTTTTACCATCAATATGTGTAAACTTTATAGTCTACAGGCTACTGGAGTGAGGTGAAAAAGGGATTTCTGTAATCTTAATTTTGAAATTTAATCTGATGTATCCTCTCGTGAAGAGGATTCAGTAATTCAATAAATATTTTCCGTGGTGTAATGTTTGCACACGTGTAATGTTGTATCATAATAATCATCTGTTTTCTTAAATATTACAGAGGCGTTAACTGATGCTCAACAAACTTTAAAACAATCCTGGAATGAAAATAAACTACTCAAAGACAACATCAGTCGGCTGGAGGCGGACATTGAAACTTATCAGAAGAATCAAAACGAACTAAGCAATGCTCTTTCAGTCTCTGAAATGAATTGTGAATCCCTTAGTAACTGTGTCAATACAATGGAACAGAAGCTTCTGCAGTGAGTACCTCTTTATTTTCTACCCATTTCTATTCCCGAACAATTATTAGCTCTCAGACTAGGAGGTAACAGGAATAAGCTCCACGATTTCACCACGTTATAATATGTTTTCTATGATATTTAATATCTAGACTTGTGCGATTATAGGGTTTTCAATTCAATTACGATTTGATTACGATTATCGAAATGAATCGCGATTACGATCACGATTACGATTTAAATCGGGAAAAAACTGAAAAAGTAAAACAGAGCGCGATCATAATTTTTTTTTTTTTTTTTTTACTAAAAACGAAGTTATTTTTTGGTTTTCGTGACCATAAACAAAGTTAAAGTATATAAGTTCTTGTAGATATTCATTTAAAAAGTTAGAAAGCTGACGATTTTCCGCCAATATTTTTTTTGTTCTTTCACTTGAGGTTGACTCATTGTCTATTTCTCTAAAAGATCTTTTCCACCCAAAATAAACTTGACTTCTTCCAGCTTTCTCCAGCCGTTCTCCCGCCAACTATTTAATTTTTTTTTATTTTATGCACTGCCAACCTCTCCAATCAAAAGTATTTGAAGAACCTTTATCATCGACGTGAAATCGCAATACAAGCCTGATGGGGATACTTTCGCGGGGTTATCACTATTTTCAGTGCGAGTTTTTACCACTGGGGGCTAGCAGCGCCCTACCATAGACGTGACGTAAATTCGAACAAACGCGGCGGGAATTTCAAATTCAAAATGCGGCGCAAAACTGGACATTTCGTGAAGTTTAATTAATCGAATTAATCAAGATCAAAATCTTAAACCGATTACGATTATGATGAAAAAATTAATCACGACTACGATTAACGTTCGATTATTCGCACAGGTTTATAAATATCCAGTATTTAATACATTTTGCTGGTGTGTCAGTCAGTTTAGCAGCATTTATAAGGAAAGAGTTAAGTACATAGACACATTTTTGAAGTCTAGACCCTTTGAAAAAATCTGTCGTGTAAAATAAATTTTGCGTCAAACTGCAGTCAGTTTGTAGTAAAATAAATTGATTTTTAACCTATGGATCTCAAGGATCCCAATTACGAGAAATGAGAAGTAATTCAAAGCTTTTTATTCAGGCAAGCAGGATAAAAGAGTTTTAACTAAAATTGCTTGTTCGCTTTCAGGAGAGCTTCTGAACCTGAAGAAAAGCTAGTTAAAGACAATTTAGCAACGGAGAAAGTGGACCGAGTAACGGAAACAGAGTTCATTGAAGTACCTCCGCCTGCTAGGATTGTTACAAATTTGGAAACTAGTGCAACCGACTTGAACGTATCAGATAGTTTTAAGTCTAAGGTAAGTTTACTAAATTGAGCCTTTCTCATGTCTACAACATATCATAGTGAATTCTGCATTCTCCAAGACATTAGAGGTGTCCAAGAAAGCCTGTTGGAAATTTAAAAAAATCTTACACTTAAAAATTATATCTGTTGCTTTACCTAATTTGATCACCTTGAAATGTAATAAATCTTTTCCAGCGCTTTCACCACTTCGTAAACACATGCTCAAAACCACCCTCCACCATTTGTCTGAGAGTTGCCTTCAGAGCTTTTACGACTGAAGTTATGGAGTGGAAATGTCCATCTTAAAAATGGTTTTTGGCCTAAAGGTACAAAAACAAAGTCATTAGATGACAGATTTGGACCACAGGATGAAAGAGGTACCATTTCAAAATTTTCCTCGGTTAAGAACTATATGACACTCGCTGCGGTAAACGCATAGCATTAGGGGTTAAGGCAACATCCCTTTCTGTTTGGGAAGCATTTGTTTGCATTAGCACAATGTCTGTGTTGATAATCTTTTCGATTAACGCTGTGCTAAGACCACCTTAAAGTTCAGGACCTCTTTGAGGTCTTTGAGCAACCTCACACAACCCTTTAAGTACAAGGCCACGCCTCTTAAGTTTTTTTAACTACTCGCAGGTCTCCTTTTTGATACGTAGCCTAGGCTATTGATTCAGTAGAACTGACTGAATGAATAAAAAAACTAGCAAAGACCTCTGTCTAGCTCTGATTGCACTAACCATTTTTTTCTGTTCTTTTTTCGTCATTAAGTCTTTTTTTATTGAGCCCAATTTTTTGCCTACAATGAAGTACCAAAATACTGGCTTACTCCAAATGTCAAATATCGTCGGTAAAACTCCCAAACAATGTATCTCGATTTTTATTAGTCTCTCGATTTCAGACTCGATTCTCAGGCTTTCCATCATACTTTATTAAATAAATGAAAAATCACTCAATGTCAATTCTTTAAAAATTTTGTTATTTTTCCTCTCTGAGCAAAGAAAATTCTATGAAAATTTCAAGGAATGATGTCGATTCATTCTTTCTCTAAAAAATGAAATGGGAGTGGAGATTCTAAAACACTGTAAACAAGATACAAGGTTTGAGAGTCACCGTCAATGTGTAACTCTTCAACCTAACTGCTTACTCAAATTTGTATCCCCCTGTTTGTTATTTTACAGCTAACAGCGTAACTGGGTGAAATGAAAATATGTTTGTTCCGTTTGTTTCGTAGTTCTAAGTTTGGAACTTTAATTGATAGTAATTTTAAAAAAAATTATTTTTCAGCTATTGGAGCTTGAGTCGGAGCTGGTAATGATGCGAGAAAAATTCCGAGCGTCAAATGAGTCAAAAATTCATTTAGAAACTGAACTATCCAATTTGCAACAGAATTATAACGCGTTGGTAGATCAGCCTTTCTATGTGAGTACACCTCTTTTTTAAAATTTTTTCTCTAAATCTGTCATTCTAGCTCTCACGCTCTTTCACTCACCATTGAAGCACAATTTCTCTTGCAATATCTCTTCTCTACAACTCATCGCTTTCCTCTCTTCTCTTTCTAAAATCTGCATTGTGCATTTTTGTCTCTTTTTTCATACTTATCTCGACAGCTGTCAGGAAGACGTACAAAAGCATAGAGTAATAACAAACTGGAAAGGTAACTGTCAGTTTCTCTCGTTAGATTGTGTAACGTCACAGTTTTGAAGCGGACTTGAAACCATTTCTATGCAAAATTTGAAATAGCAAGTAGAGGGAGGGTCGTAAGGTAAAAGTGGATAAGCCTCCAAACTGCTTTGAACTTGGGACAGTAGTTCAAGTAGGAGCCACAAGGATTTCTAGAATCAAAGCAAAGATGGCTCACAGCTCCCCTTCTGGTAGTTATTCTTCCATTATGAAAGGCAACAGCTTAATGGCTTCCCACATATAATGATATAATTTTTCAAATGCATTGGATGCTTTCGGCAAAAACTTAGAATGAAATAACAAAGAAGAATTACACTAAGACATAAGAGGCATTTCAAGGGAAATCAATGGAGAAACTGATTTGGTTCTTTTTTTTCATAATTTTATTTTCATCTATTTTGTTACCCATTAGTACATGTTGGTGATTAATTTCCATTTACAGCAAGGTATAGAGTAACACCTTGATAAACCGCTCGGTTTCATTGACTTTAATTCTCTATCAGTCTTCAGCATTGTTGATTCAGTCTGAGGATATTACAAACTCTCTCAACATAATATTATAGTATGCAGAATGTTAGGAATCATTGCAATAACTCAAGTTAAGAGCTGAAGGAATGTAACAGTTTTTTTTCTTTCTTTATTTCTTTCTTTTTTTCTTTTATTTTTGTAATCTGGAATTTGACCGAATCTGTGGAAAAGGACCCTATCCTCTGGGAGAAAATTTTCCTTAAAATTTTGCAAAAATTAGATCCACGATTTTCTACAACCTAAGAAGTTTTGTCTTAGAACTGTAGGACTCACGTCTCCTTCAATTTTCGAGCTTTTAGGGTCAAATTCGTGCCAAAATGTCCAAATTTTCTTCCTCTATGCGATTGAAAAAAAAAAAATTTGAAAATTTTCTCAAGGAAGATATGGTCCCTTTGTAGAGATCTGGTCTCATTTAAGATAGCCGTAATTTTCATTTTCTTTCCACTCTTTTTGAGTTCTAAATCTGCAGGTAATCTGAACATCAAAATTTTTCTAAAAAACTAAATTTCATTTCAGTCACTCATATTTATTCATATTTACTTTTAACCAGCTTCAGCAACAAGAAAAATGTCAGGGCCCAATTTAAAATCAGTGCAACATTTAGCATTTGAACATACAGTATTCTCTCGCTATAACAACATTCAATGTAACGAAAATCTCTCTTTTGCGAAATAACCACCCGGTCCCTTGAACGATTTTCTTGCTATAACAACACTCATTATAACGAAAATCTCTCTTTTGCAAAGGAATCGCCCGGTCCCTTGCCACTTTGTTATAGCGAGAGAGTACTGTAATTCATTTATTTAATAATTTAGTTGTTTATAGTAAGTATAGAGTTATCGTTTTCTCATTGTCAATCTGGGTCACAAACTATGAAATCTGTGACTCAATTGGTTATGACCTCCCTTGAATAGATCTAACTCTTGTGTTTCATCTGACGGAGTTCTGCTTTAACCAAACTGTTGATTTTTTAGGTCGTTGCTCGTCTACAAAACTATTTGCCTCTCATCGTAGTGATCATTGGCATGGTCTTATATTCAGGGCTTTTCTCCTTTTGGAGTTCAGGTTAAGGTCTCTCCAATCCCCTATCTCCATCTCTCCCCTCTATTTTTCCTTCCCGTTTTTATATTTTTTCATTGCCCACCTCTCTGCTCCTTTTTCTAAATGTTTTAAATTCTCATCCAGTTAATGAAATAAAATCACAAATTTACCATCGGAACTAGATAGTTAAAAATCAAAATCAAATAAAAGTATTCAATGTTATGAGTCTTCACCGAATTCAAAACTGCTGCTATTCATCCAGTCTTTATTACTCAATTGTTTTTCTCTCAAACTATTATTCAAAAAATCAGAGGAGAAAAAAAATTATAAAGATTAAACAAGTAATATTTAAAACTCTGAGATGAATTTTTTTTCTTTTTTCTTTAAAAAAATACATACTGAACAGGAATTATCTGGCTCAATATTTCTAAAAAAGAAGTGATTACCTTATCCAAATTATTTTTTGCCACCTCTACCGCCATACTCATGATCTTAAAATTTCTATAGGAATTGATTCGTTTAGGAGAGATTACGTAACAGCTCTGCCGTGCCAAGGAAGAACGCCCAATGAACATTCGACAGTTGTCAAATTTCCATCGATTAAATGGTAATTTTTTACGAAAGTTATGAATATTTTCCCTTGAAATTTTTAGGACTTTTCGGCGAAATTGCAAGCAGTATTATCTGAAAAATTTGAAGGAAAATATTCACAAGTTTACTAGAAAATTCGTGTTTTATCAAAGGAAATTTGGCAACGCCTGAAGGTTCATACGGCGTTCTTCCTTAGCACAGCAGAGCTCATCTCTATTTTTTTTTTCAAAGTTTGTTTGTTTCTTTGTTATTATTTGATATAGTAGTTGGAAGTCTGTGGCAAATGTTATTCCGAAGTGTAAATTATATCGAGCTGTGATCTTCGTAACTATGAGGGAAGTGTCCATAATAGAAAAATCAAAGAGACACAGTTTATTTGCAGGAAAGCAAGTAACTTGTTTGGAATTTAATTAGCATAGTTTAGTTTATTAGTTTTGCAAATTTTTAAAATCATTTTGTTTATAATTTTTTGTGTGAATGAAGAAATAAAGGGACAATGCCTAAGTACCTGTTGATTTTTGCCAGACTGATGGGGCTTTGCAATTTTAAATTTTAGTGAGGGTTATGCTGTTATTATTTAAAGTCCTGCGCACTTTAATGAAGACTTTCTTAAGTCCCCTTCAGCCTAGATAAAGTATAATTACTTCCTCTGTTTTGTACATTTAAATTGTTCTTTTTCTTTTTCTCAATTTTACTAATATGTTATAATTATTTCTTGAAAACACAATGCATATCAAATGGTTCCATCAATCTTAGATTTAACAATGTAATTAGCCNTCTCTCCTTCATAAATTTTTATAAAGTTTTCTACTTAGATTTTTGAACTTTATTTAATACTCGAAAACCTACTCCAACCAGCTGATTTCCCTTCTTCCTTAACCACGAGGCCATGCCGAATGTCAGAAAATGATGAGATGGAAAATTTCTTCCATATCCGAAGGTAACAGAAACAGAACTTTAATTACCTGAATTTGTTTGCTGGGTTGACATTTTTTGGATATGGTCTTTACAACTTGATTGTCGGGTATTATCTTTTGGCTTGATGGATTTACACGCTTTTCCCTTGTACTGTTGTCTTTCCCTACTAACAAAAATGTCGTATTTTGCAAGCACATGTGACACCGTGTTAATTCCTGCTTTATCCGTTCTCTGGCTTCATGTATCAGAGCACTGTATCGAGTTTGTTTGTGCCTTCGATCAAACTTTATTAGGGCCGGTGTAGCATTGACCTGGAATTAGATAGTCAGTATTTGTTATCTGTCCAACGCTCAGATAATTCTGATCCTCCTTTAGCTTATAATTAATATTTATAAATAATACTAAGAAATATCCTTTCATTTTGCCATTTACCAATTCTTCGAAAAATTCAATGTAAAAGTCTCAAAAGTGAAGAGCTTCTATTAAGCTTCCTCAAGAATCGAAGCAACTTCCTTGACATCAACAGCAAAAAAGAAATCATACTGACGGTAAAACTCCCAAAGCACGTATCTTGGTTTGCATTCGAGGCCCATAGAGGAAGTACAAAGGTAGTAGCTGTTTCTGATTCGTTGACACCATGATGTAGGTGGGTAGAATACCTGTCAATATTCCTACAAAGTTCGAAATTTGAACTATGGATAAAGTTTACCATCACATCTGCTCATGTAGTGACATCATTTCACCCTCAATCTGTAAGTGGGGTAAAATTTAGGGTCAAAAACGAAAGTTCCCCGGTTGAGCTGAAACCAAGCTGTCCCATGTAAAATGACCCAGGTCTGATTTTTTGGTTCATACAGCTCCAAGAGTCCAAGAGCAAAAAATCTCATACCAGCAAATCATCAAAAACGGTCATAAACACCCGTTTCATGGCTCGGGTAGCCCGGTAGCTCTCGGGACCAGGCGCAATCGATTCTACGCCTCGAAATATATATGATTCGATACTAATTTCCAATATTTTTTCTCCATCGGAAATCGAGAAAAATTGACAGGTGAGCTCCAAGAGTCCAAATGCAAAAAATCTCATGCCAGCAAATAATCAAAAACGGTCATAAACACCTGTTTCATGGCTCGGGTAGCTCCGCCGAGTCTGGAGACCGAGCTCAATCGATTCTCAGCCCGAAGTTTTGGTTTAAAATGCTCCACGAGACTCGTGGAGTATGAAGGAGCATGCAGGTGAATTTCTAAAAACTGTCAAAAATATCCTTTTATTTCTTTGCAATCATCTTTTCAAAAGCCAAAAGATAACTACAATTTTTTTCATATAGATGCTATAAATATCTTTCGAAAATGGTCGAGACTGGGTAAATATATTTCAATGATCTGTAACTACCGAACCTTGTGCACAACTGTTTGTCCCTTGTTATAACTATATTTTTTACAATCATCCTCATCTCAAAGAAATGGACTTCTTACCACGAAAGAGTCGTTGCATTTTCATGTTTTTTTTTAGCATGGAAAAATTTACCATGTTAGCTTTCTTGGGCTTTCAATTTTCCGAGGGCTAATCTCTCTGCAACAGAATGAGTTGGTGTTGTTTCTTATTCCTTTTTTGAGATAGTTAGAAACAAAATGATTTGAATCATGTAACAGTAGAATAAGTTGAAAATCCCTTGAAACTATTAAGCTCTTTTAAATTTTGAACCGTCCTGAATTGTAGTCCCTGAAACGCCTTCCTTCTTCAGTAAGCCTCATTGGGTATTTCCTCTGCTCATATTTTATCATGTACATTTGTTATGCAAATATTTTTAGTTTAAGGTGCAAGAATCGTTCACATGTAATTTTATCTCTTCTCTGTTCCTCTCACATCTACCTTTCAACTAAATGGTATCATGCCAAAGCGATCTTATTCCCTGTCAGGAGATGACAAATTACTCACTCCATTACCATTGTTAGTTGAATTCTGAAGAATTACCTTCCTTTTGTTTAACATTTTTAATGGATTTTTTTCTTCATAATTTTTCCTTAGTTTTTGCAACCATGAAGCGATAATACCATTAAATAAAAAAAACTTTCAGTGAGAAAACAAATTTGAATCCTTCTAGGTTATTCATAGGTATTGTAAGACTATTTCAAATTATGTCCTCTTAACCGTCTGGTATATCCACAATTGCCAGGAAAGGAGGGGTTGCGATTTGGGCCGAAATCGGCCCCTCCACGGAATTGAATAATTTTTGGATATTTGGCAGTTGACGGTGCATATTTGACGGAAACAATCGAGTTATGCCGATACTCCCGTTTTATGGCTGCGAAACAGGGGCCTAAACATGGCTCCGGAGCCGAAAATAGCTGAAATTTCGCGTTTTTCGTGGTTCTACCTCAGATTTCGACCTGGGCCCAAAGGAGACGGGTGATGAGCTTCGAATATGGTGTCTGGGACACCTAGACACGTAACATACTCGAAGCTCATCACCCGTCGCCTTTGGGCCCAGGTCGAAATCTGAGGTAGAACTACGAAAAACGCGAAATGTCAGCTATTTTTGGCTCCGGAGCCATGTTTAGGACCCTGTTTCGCAGCCAAAAAATGGGAGTATCGGCAAAACTCGATTATTTTCGTCAAATATGCACCGTCAACTGGCGAATATCCAAAAATTATTCAATTCCGTGGAGGGGCCGAATTCGGCCCAAATCGCAACCCCTCCTTTCACCAAAATGTATCAGGCTTATCAGGGAATTCCATTTTCTGAATTCTTTGGCAATCCTGGCTCAGGTATCATCATAGCACGGAAAAATCTATACATTATTGTGCAGGCAACCCTGAGGAAGAAAGTAGTTCAGACGCAATCTGGCTATAGAGGTTGAAGGGAAAGCACCCTCTCGCGTTTTGGTAAAAAGAAATTCTATGGGGATGGAGGAACAGTACTTATTTTTAATTTGCCCTTCTTATGATGAGGAGAGATGTAAAACTGAAAATATTCTATAATACTATACTGAAATATTTGTATTTGTTGTTTCAGGCAACCATATTCATGCTGCCATTAATCATTCTCTTCATCACGTTCATCTGCAACTGGTACCCAAAGCTATCACGCATTCTAGGAACTGCCGATGCCCCAGGCATGAATGATGATTTCAAAGATAACTCAGATCTTTAGATGATTCATAAGATGTCTTAAAATCATTGTTTTTGTTTTTTTTGTTACTATTGTCCTATTTGTACCTATATTTTCTTAACTTATTTAAGATATACGCAGCATAGCCGAAAATATTTATTTTTTTCTTACGCAGTAATCTGCTCGACGAAAATTGTACGCTGCCTACCGTCGTACGTTTGTAAACTCTGATCTCTCCCTCCGCACAATACGCACTATAGATAATGTTGCCTTAAGAGAAAGAAAAAACATGTGCTTCAGTAGAGTTTTCCATCAAGACCTGTTACTTAACGAATTTTGAAAAACATTTGATTGCACGATTTTTAGATCAAGAGAACTCAACTGATTCTATGATACATCCCTGTACTATTCAGAAATTTAGTCGTTGAGTTATGTGTCTTGTCTTCATTGTACAAAAAACGATAAGTTTTTCTTTAATGCTGAGAAATTTTTCCTTTTTTAATTTATTGTATTCTTTTCAATACTCTTGTCAAATGTAAGTGAAGTTAAACTCCAAAAAAGCTTTGAAAAAAAACCTTAAAATGTACAAAGAATTATCTTCCAGCATGAAGGTTGTTTGTTCCAAAATCAAGTAGATTCTTGAATTTATACTCTCTGTTTTAAGATATTTTAAGAGCAAAAGCTGACCAACAAAATCTTCCCAATCATCTAGATTTCCCTCACGCAGGCATTTATTTAAGACTTTTTCAGTGGACGGAACGAATGTATTGTTGCATTTGTTGTTGATGAAGTCTCAAGCACTTTCATCCAATACTTTCACTCACAGTCATAAGTTATCTCAATACGTTTCTGATTGAGCACACATAACGACAGATTTCACTTCTTTACAAAATGATTGGAAATTGTTTAAAATACCTATTTAATAAAATTCTGGAACATAGCCAAAACTGTTTTTTATAATTAATTCATCCTTAACTAATCAAGCCCCCCCCCAAAAAAAAAAACATGGTATCTAGAATTTTTCACCATGCTCATTCCCTGAGATTCAGGAGCTCATCACCAAATGAGGAATCAATGTTTTCTCCCACTTTGCTGACATTTTCTTGGGGGAAAAAAGATATATTTCTCCTGAGTTACATGATGAAAATCCAGGGGTTTTTTTTCATTGCTTAGCCAATTCTTTGACCCTCATCAAAATTTTAATCCCAAAAGTGCTCCTAATGGCAATTAGTCAAATCAGGTATTTTATTAAATGCCTAGGCCAGTCGTCAAATTTTGACAGTTTATGGAATTTTGTAAATTTATGGCAGAGTTCACACTTTTTAAATATTTTGGGAAGAATAACTCTTCAAATCCATGAAGGTATGCAGACAGTATGTCTACAGAAAAAAGGGCTACCTTTTTAGTCTACTGTCAAAACGTCTACATTAAAATGCCTACTGAAATTATGTCCACATTCAAATATGTCTACGCTATTAAAATGTCTACGGTTTGTTTGCCCACTTAAAAAATGTCAAAATATTTATGTTGGCCACTAAAAATATATAAAATATATTTATAAAATAAAACAATAAATAAAATATACATGTTGATATTTATAGGGTCAATAATTCGCGAAATGTGACTAACAATTTTGACGCATCAGCTTCTGCAGCATCCGCAGCCTCGTCCTGTCTTTGGGGATACACTTTCAAATGAGATTTTTATCAGATGACATAAATACGTACTTTGAAATGTTTGACTTTTTGGAGTAGGCAGTCAAACCAAAGACATTTTAATACCGCAGACATATTTTACTATAGACACTATTTTAATAGGAATTTTCATGTAGACATTTTGATTGTAGACCAAAAAAGGTAGCCCTTTTTTTTGTAGCCCTTTTTCTTGTAGACCTACTGTCCATAAACCTCCGTGAACTCTCTTTGCTCCTTCCTTTTTACATGCCTTTAGTACATTTAAATGTTAAAATTTTAAAAATGCTACGTTTTATGATGTGCTGAAAATTTCATGAGAAATGTGCTTTCAGGATCTTAAAATCGTTTAAAATATTATTGTATGCTGCATATTTTTACAGAGAATTCTTTTTACAGGAGCAACGAATTATTTTGTCTAAAATTAAGGTAAAAAATCAAAATTTCAATCGAAGTAAGAATATTTAACTGTTTGCCTAGGCATTTGACAAAATGTCTGATTTGACCATTAGCCCTCGACATTTTATCTGGTCAATGAAAGCTCTCTATTGATCTGATGATTTAAAGGTTCAAGAGGTTATCTGAAATTCGCATTTTCTGTTTCAAAAATCGATCCATTTTCATCTTGATGAAAAATCGACCAGCACCAACATTTTTAAAGTTAAAATAGAGCCTAGAGCCCCAACCCCTTGAGCCTACGAGGTGCGAAAAGATGGTCTCCGGAGCACAGAGGAGAGATTGGTCTTTATCGTTAGATGGATAAATTCCCAGTTTCCGGTGCAGATTCCCTGACTTTGCTCTGATTTTCCTAAAATTTTTTACTCCCTGATGGATATCAGGTTCCCTTGGTTTAGACACCATTCCCAAAAATTGACGTTTTTTAAAAATGAATACAATGCATTGCAAACTTGCAGGATTTGCTATCAAATTTTACGTAGGTTTGGGAGAACCTGTACTGGAAATTGCATACCTATATGCTTGTCTTCAAAGATATTCTAAAATAGAAAAAACGTTTCACGCAGAAAATGATAAAACAGGAGTGCAAATTAAATCAGTGCGCCTTGCCCCCTTGTACTTGACTGAGCCATTTGAACCTTCGGAAGAAATGTACATAATATTTCATCATCACACTCACCACAAAAGGAAATTTTCCTCCGAAAAATTATTTTTGGCAAAAAATCAGAAAAAATCAATTTTTCAATATTTTTGGGTACAAAATGAAGTAACGTCAATTTTTCAATATTTTTGAGTAAAAAATGAAGTAACATCAATTTTTCAATATTTTTTAGATTTTTGGCTCAGCATGGATTCGAGATCTTCTCTCCAGTGAGAAAAGTTTGCAAGAAAGAAAATTTTAAGAATGAGCTAGCGATTAATTTTTTATTCAAAGAACTTCCTGTCCTCCTGCTTACTCTAAATTTATTTGAGTTAATGCAAATTCTGCTGAATGGATGGTAAAAGAAAATAGAAAAGTATTTACTATTCACTTGAAAATGGTGACATTTTATTTTTTAAAAAGGAATAAAAAGTATCCTGAATCGATCAGTAGATTATATACTAAAAACTAGACACAAATAGTTGGCAGGGTACATTCGGGGTTTTAAAAATTTTAAAAATAGATATGGAATCAAAATGTAGAGAGAAAATAATGAAATCATACACAAAAAGTTTACATAGGTACAGGTTAATTATTCGGTGATGGATCAACTGCGATCACAGTCAGATGGCGAGGATCATAAGAATCAAATCAGTGGAGACGGTAAAGCATTTTACGCTGCATTCTGTGCTGGACCTCACCTCTTCTGATCATTGTGTAAATTACTTTCTTGATTGCTGACAGAGGATATTTCTGGAAGAACAATAAAGCGAAGTTAATCTCAAATTCAGTTTCAGATTGATGTTCTTACAAATCATATTAAATTAATAAAGAATTTGCAGGTGTCTGAAATTTGATGAATTTCGTGTTTAAGTGGAAACTACTGAGTGAATTGAACACGAGGATACCCTTGGTTCATGAATTGAACGATTATTGGAGAAGATATGACAAAATGATCTAATCTGCCAAAATACATGTGTTTAAATGAAAAATGCCGCCAGATGGCATCACTAGGCAGTGCATTTTCTCACTTTTAAATCTATTTTTGTACCATTTCCCATATCAGAAAAAGAATTATAAAAAATACTGTGAAATCAGCTCTTAAAGCACTTTTAGATGAAGCAATAAAAAATTTGCATGCAAATTCTCCATTAATCTTAACATACAAGATTGCAGTACATCTGCCGGTACTGCGTATTGATGAGATTTAACGGAAAAACTTTATTTCGCCATTTGGACACGATTTTTGGTATTGATAACCAATTTTTAAAACGTCAATTTTATGACTACCAGAGAAGCGCTAAATTCAATTTTCAATCTGGAAATTAGAAACTTTGCCAAAAGAGCCAAAAAGACGAAAAGAGAGTAAAGCAACTAAAATTTGGAGCTTCCAAATAGAAAACAAGACTTTAGTCAGCCAGCTTAGGTGGGCTGATACAGCGACAAAATGTTAAAATCCCTTACCTGGTCTAGAAAATCGTTCACAATGTTGACTTCAGATACTTGCGTACCGACTGGAAATCTACGTTTCAACTGCTTTTCAATTCGCAACAAGGTTTCATAATCTTCCTCAGATGTGAAACCTTCAGCTCCTGAAATAACAACAAAAACTTAAAGTGAATTATCTCTCTTTGTATACCAGGGACGAGAGACTCTCATCAAGAATGCCGGGCAGATAAAATCAAAGTCCTGCCTAAGAGAATTTAAAGACAAAAATGTGCTTTGTCGAATTTTCAAAATTTTACATAGAATGAGCAACTTGCCCCTCTTGGACTATGTAAAACCAAATATTTGAATCTTGAAACAATACCTCACAAGGATTTTATATTTTCGTATTTTTCAGCCAAACTTAAATGCATCCAAAGTACATTCAAAAGCTTTTCTACTTCAAAAAATAGTCTGGGCAAAACATTTTGAACATGAATATTAAACGTAAAACGTTACACTAAAGTTTGATTATTTAACTTGTAAAATTTTAACCTGAGTCCAGAATTTCTAGAAAAAATGTCAAACAAAATGTAAAATGAAGTACGCCTGTGCTAGAGAAAAATCCTAGTTTGTTAGATCAGTAACTCAACCCTGAATCTTAGCAAAAATATATTATACGTCTCACGGTTTGACTTGCGTATTTCTTGAACTTATTACAGATAGTTATGATTGAAAAACATGGGAAAAGAAACAAGTTGGATTTTGCAATCGCTAGCGATAGCAATATTCGTCATGGGAACGTTAGCTTCTGGGATATGAAAATGTTAAGGTACAGTTCGTTTGTAGTATCTTCTGAATTGAAGGGGCTATGTAATTTTGTGTTGACATCTCTTTTTTAACATTTTTAATTATTTTCTTTGCATACAAGAAAGCTGTTATGTACCAATTATTTATTTTCGTTGGATTATATATGGTTTTCGGAAGTTAACGCATTTAAGTTTCAGGTTCGCTTTTTCGGCGTAAAGTATACATAAGGTGTCCCAAAAGCACCGGGACTTGTTCTGTAACTTCGAAAGTAAGATAGATACAGACATGATCTTGATTTCATTTTAAAGATCAACTCAATACCTATCGATTAAAACCAAGATCAGCTCAATCGGATAAAAATTGACCGAGTTATGGCAATTTGAAATCAGCGAGGAAAGTTTACGCCTACGGTTTTTAAGGAAGATTCTTCATCGCCGTAAATCGAAAAGTCGGCCTATAAAGTGATGCTTATTGTGTTTTTTTCATTTTCGAGGGGTCATTTATCAACATTTTGTACCACCAAACACAACAGTTGACAGTGCGTATTATTGCAAAGTGCTAAAGGAGTTGAGAATGCACATTTCCCGGAAACGGTCGGATTTGAAAGCTTCGTGGATACTCCATCAAGACAAGCGCGGCCTCACACATCGAGCTTAACACGAGAATTTATGAGTAAAAATGGAGTTGAAACAATCCCTCATCCCCCTTACAGCCCTGACTTGGCTTGATGTGATTTTTGGATGTTTCCTACACTTAAAAAGGAGCTTCGTGGACGAAGATTCGAATCGAAGACCGAAATCCAGAATGCAATTCAAAACTTTTTCAACGCCATCCCAGAGGAAGAATTCAGGAAAACAATGTTGGATAAGTGGCAAGAGCGCATGAAAAAGTGCATCCGGTTTGATGGACGGTACTTTGAAAAGCAAAAGGAAGTTATGGAAGATTCGGAGGAAAGTGGATACGAATATTAACTTTTTAAATCCTGGTAAGCGAAAAATCTTCTTTAAAACCGTAGGGGTAAACTTTCCTCACTAATTTCAAATTGTCATAACACCGGTCAATTTTTATCCGATTGAGCTGATCTTGGTTTTAATCGATAGGTATTGAGTTGATCTTTAAAATGAGACCAAAATCATGTCTGTATCTATCTTACTTTTGAAGTTACAGAACCAGTCCCGGTACTTTTGGGACACCCTACGTATGATATTTTTACTCTACACATATGCCTGAATACGCATCATAAGGGACCTATGTGCTTCCTAAGTTGCCAAGTATTAATTATTGTTTGATGATTGGTCTAAAACATTCAATACAACCAGTAAAAATTAACTGTCCCCTGCGAGATTCGAACCCCCGCTTGCACAAAAAGTGACATTTTCCCGACGTCAGAATGGTGTCTCTGCTGACTGAGCCATCTCGCCGTATGAGAGCAACGGGAGAAAATAGAACAGTTAAGTGGTCTCGGACGCTGAGCGGGGCTTCACAAAAGACGACCTTGAGATTTCGGCAGTTCGGCCACTGGCGTCATAAGAGACATCGGATTAAAGCGCATTACTCTGTGAGACATTGTTTACCTATGCTGTCATATGTCACAAGGTTCATCTCAGTATGGATTTGCGATCGCGGCAGTAAGCTGAGGCAATATTTCTGTATTCATGGATTAAATCCATCAATCGAGTTCTGATTTTGGCTCATATATCCGTAACGGGTCCTCCAGAGCAATTTTCCACCTTGTACGATGGTTATTATTTCTTTATATCTATGTTTAAAATTTGAGGTGGGATAATGGCGGCTTCTCAAGAACACCGAGGTAGGCGATCTTTTGCACCAACGAACAGAAAACTGATGGCGAAAAATAACCAATCAGAACCTCCCAAAAAAAAGAATTTGCCTAAAAACGGAACTTCGTGGTTCTGCGCAGATTTACCAGTCAGACACGACATCTTAAGGTGGAAAAAAACTCGCTGAAAGCGAATTTTAGCAATCAACACAACTTGACGTAGAGACATGATTGGCTAAAAAATACAACGGTTTTTGATACATCGGAAAATCAACCAAAAATCGGAGACTGGGCGAAACGCTCAAGGCTGCAGAGGTATAGGGAATCCCATAGCGAAAGCAACGGAACGATTCTAATATCATGGGGAACTCCGTTCCCATGACAAAAAAAGAACAGAAGCTATAAACTAATAAAGAGCTTCAAACCTGCAAGAGTTCCAGTATTTGCCGTGCTGATTGTAGAGACATGGAACAATCGTAAAGCCTCATCAACATGAGATTCCGTTGCGAAAGGCTGCAATTGCATCTTAGCTAAAGACTCGGAGATACGGACAATGGCTTCTAATTGCCTGTAATCAGTTAAAAGAGTTTGAAGACATGTATGCAGTGACAAATGAAAGTTAAAATCAAATTTAACAACTACAGTATTTGCTTTAACAGAAATAAAAAAAAGTAGTAAAGATCGGTCTTTTCGTAAAACTATAATTTTGGAGAAGACACTTTTGAAATTTACCTTGTAAAACTTATCTTTTAATTTGATCATTTTCCATTAATTTCAGAGTAAAAATTCACTCATAGTTTTAGTTCTTCCCAAAAAAACCTACACATACAACCAAAGAATTGGACTCAAGCTTTGTTATGATGTTCTTTACACTGTATTGAGGAGTAGGGATGGTCAAATATTTTACAAATCGATTATTCGATAATCAAAAATTTCAACTTCTTAAAGAAATTAAAACAAACGAAAGCTAAAAGTTTCAAAAATTTGAATAATCTAAGTTGATAGTGTGAAATCGTCCATTCCTAGTATGCAAATGCGTCTGAATTGCTTGTAAGGACGGACAATTATTTCATACATCTATTCGAAAATTCGAATTCTCGATTATTTGGAGTTGAAAATTTTTTAAGAACCAAAATTTGCATTTGATAATTGTCCATCCTTACCGAGCAGATTAAGCCTGAAAGATAGAACTTACTGTTTGCCAAGTACAAGTAAATAGGGACTGAACAGTGTATTTTTCAGCGTTTCTACGCTGGATTCTTGTGTGGAGATTTTGCTACGCTGCTGTGTTGGATTTCCGACAATGCGACTACAGTATCACTCTGATGACTTTTCCTTCAAAAAATAGGAGTGAAAGGGTGTGTGTCTGTCTTTTCTACACTGAGAAAAGAAAGCTCTTCTTGATTACCAATTCAATACAGAAATATTTACTTTGGAAAATAAAAGTGAAAGTGCTGAAAAATCCACCATTCAGCTTTACTCTTTTGCCAATTGGTACCATGATATTGGGTTTAGAAGATTATGCAGAGCACGATGTAATTCTTCATTTTTTTCACTAGATCAAATTTTGTTTAAAAATATTGTAGTTACTACAAGAGGTATATGCCTTGCCTGTAATTAACAGGAATTACATTAACAGAGGTATTAGGGAACAAAGTAACGTTAGATATTACTGAATATCTAGAAGACCAAGAATCTTGAAATTCTCTGTCCATTGGTGTATCATATCAAATGATAACTAAGTTTAGCAGGCACTTAATCTCTTGGTTTTACCCGCAAGGTCCTTTGCATGGATTTGACAGAAGTCGAAAAAAATATTTGTCTTACCTAACAGTGATGGGGATGGATAGTTTCTTTTCAGCTGTGTCCATGGCGTCTTTGTTTCCACCTCTCAGTAGAACATACCTGTTCTTCAGTTTCTCTGCTGCGGCTTCAGATAATCGCGGACCACAAGTCCTGGAAAAATAATTCAACATGAAGTCATGTCATTGAAAATTGACCATATTTTGGACAACAATTAAAAAATCAAATCAATACTACTATTTATTACCGCGTTTTATCTGTTAATTAAATGGGGCAAAAGCTTTTTTGTACCATACCTATAGCTAATATCAGAATATGAATCTTGGATTGTGGCACTATATGTTTTCGATCATGTTTTCTTTATTGGAAAGAAAACCATCCAAGTGTTGGATCCAACACTTTTCTTGAACTTTTCTGGAAAGTTTTTTACAGCCATTACAGAATTTACTCTTTGATCGGATCGATTTACGTTACCAATATTTACAATTTTATTGGTTTAAATTTTGAGATCTCAAATTCTGAAGTTGAGGAAAACTTGTCAATTTTCTTCTGGAAAATAAATCTCTAGCAGCGTTTTTAAAATATTACTTCAGAAATAGACATTTTTCAACTCGAGCCATCAACAAATTGTTTCTGTAAAGGGGTACATGCAAAACGGGCCATTTCACGCTTGTGTCGGATACCATTGAAACTTGCCCTATTCATCCATTTAGGAATGTCCCATGTTTACCCAAAGTTTCAAGTCCCCAGAAAATTTTGGGGGGAAGTGGCGGGGGGTCAAAGTTGAAAATCCGCTAAATTAATCCGAAAACTACTAAATATTTCGAAATTAAACGAGCGTTTTCAGCGTAAAAAGAGCTTTCAGAAAATGTATAATATCATAGGGTTCAGTCGACTTAAACTCGATTTATCGTCTCCGAAGCGCCGGAACGCTAAAAAATGACCCGCTTTTTGGTCACGTTCGGGCCGATCCCCAAAATACTCATTTTTAATTTCTTTGAAAAACCGATATGTTGTTCCTGACTCTCTATGGCACCTATATGTCTTTACTGTATCCTGGGGAAATGTTTTGTTCGCGAGTTATAAGCGCGGAAAGGAGCGGAAGTCGGGAAAATCGGCTATTTTGAACTGCGCGCGTCGCATGGGTTAGAAGGAGAACGCCCCCTCCTGCTCAGTTCGGCGAATCACACTCCTCTGCCGACCTTGCATTGTTGCCACATGTCTCCTGATACGTCGCCGCGCGCAGTTCAAAATAGCCGATTTTCCCGACTTCCGCTCCTTTCCGCGCTTATAACTCGCGAACAAAACATTTCCCCAGGATACAGTAAAGACACATAGGTGCCATGGAGAGTCAGGAACAACATATCGGTTTTTCAAAGAAATTAAAAATGGAGTATTTTGGGGATCGGCCGGAACGTGACAAAAAAGAGGGTCATTTTTTAGCGTTCTGGCGCTTCGGAGGCGATAAATCGAGTTTAAGTCGACTGAACCCTGTGATATTATACATTTTCTAAAAGCTCTTTACACGCTGAAAATGCTCGTTTAAACCGCGTTTCGAAATATTTAGTAGTTTTTGAGTAAAAAATTCGCGAAAATTTAGCGGATTTTCAACTTTGACCCCCTGCCACTTCCCCCCAAAATTTTTTGGGGACTTGAAACTTTGGGTAAACATGGGGCATTCTTAGATGAATGAATAGGGCAAGTTTCAATGGTATCCAACACGAGCGTGAAATGGCCCGTTTTGCACGTACCCCTTTGTTACTGTTGCAAAATTCTTTTTTTTCCTATTTTGGTGGAATGGAAGAATCTGGCAAAGTTGAGTGAGAAATTATTGACAATGATTTTGAATAGAATAAGAGACTTACAAGCGGCAGAATTTGATGTACTTCTTAATCAGATTTAAAGACAGTTCTTCGTCAGAGTCTGCTGCCTCTAAATTCTTGTTGGTCTGTTTATGAACATTCATGATGTGCTTGGCTAACCTCTGAAAAATCACGGTAAAACATTCATAAGTAAGAAAATATTGAAACAATTCCAATCGAGCAGCATCTTATAACGGATGAAACAAAGAGAAAAACTCATCACACTGTGATTGTACTGTATAAGGCAGGTATTTACTGAGTTCTGAGCCAGACTTATTAGACCCTTTGATAACTCACTGAGATTTTTCTTAATTATGATGTATCACTGACCACTCATTTTTTCCAACCCCCCCCCTCCCCCCACCGGCTCTCTTTGATGGATGATTATATAGCCTATAATAAGAGATTTACAAAGAATGCAACGGCACAATGACATCCAGTTAATGCGGTGTACAGTCATTAATATAGATAGATAACACCGACTCCAGCATAAGTTAAAACACTTAACTTACTTCTAAATTTTTAAAGTAATATACTATTTTTGTAGCAGTATTAATTTTTAATTTTTGTGCATCAGCGCAAACGGTTTCTTAAAAGCACATGCTCCCACTCAGTCGAGGCATTTTTCATACACTATTTCTAATTTTATGATAATTGCTTGTACTTTCTGTGGTGAAAAGATGACAATAAGTTTAACTTGAAGCATAAAAAAAAATAATTTAAAAAAAGAAAATAAAAAGATGGACTTACAATGTCTTTGGCTTCATCATGCTCATCCTTCACGATGAAGATCATGTCAAAACGTGACAAAATGGTGGGGAGAAAATCGATGTTCTCTTCGCCTTTGGTGTCATCCCATCTTCCGTAAACACTGTTAGCAGCTGCTAGAACTGAGCAGCGTGAGTTTAATGTGGTTGTGATTCCAGCCTGGAATAAGTTCAAGACAATTGTTGAAATTAAGTACAAGCATACCTGCAAATTTCTAGGACTCAACAATTACTTTGAGTGATGTTAAAGAGCAATGGACAATTTCGAAAACTGACGACTGAGCTGTAAAGTTTGAATGTTGAAACTTCTCAGGGAGGAACTTTGAAAGCTGAGTTTCATAAACGTACGATTCCATCACAAAATGTTGAAATTTCTGTCCCTTTTTCACACTTACAATCAGTGACGATTCTTGAAATTGGCAGCACTTTTTATACTCCACTTAAATCCATTTAAAATATCGATATTAGGCGAGGCGAGCTGCATCACCAAGAATCGATTGTTTTGCACATCTTTAAATGGAAAAAAAACAGAGTTACCAACTTTCAAGAAACGCCACTGCTTACGATAGAATAAGAAACAGCTTTGTTCTTTGAAGCTGAAAAATTGCAAAATACGTAAAAATCATGGAACTTAGGAAGAAATGGTGTTCATCAGTTTGCAATTTAACAATTGAGCACCAAGGCTTTTTTAGTCCGTGATCTACACAGTGGGCATCAATCTGCAGGGACCAACTTTACGCAAGCTGTAGTTGGGTAGCTTCTGAACGTTCCTGATGCTCCTCTATGTCTCTTGCCAATTTCCGCCTACTGACGCTTTCTTCCTAATTTTTATGGCTTTGAGGGACCAGTATCTCTACACATTCGTTCACTGCTATACTTAAAAAAATGCTTTATGAACCTTCAGGAGTTACCAAATTTTCTCTGATAAAATAAGAATTTTCAGAGAAATTGGTAGGCATTTTTCTTCAAATTTTTCAAAGAATTTTTGACGCACTTCCATCAAAAATGTCTGAAAAATTCCGAGGTAAAACTTTCATAGCTTTCCTTCAAAATAAATATTTTGCTCATAGGAAATTTGGCAACATTCAAATGTTCATACAGAATTTTGCAATAGCATGGTCTTGCAGGTCACAATGACAGTTACCATGTTGAAACAGGAAATTTCCAATATTGAAGAATGATTTAGGTGTTTTCTGAGTCTTGCCTTTGATTTAAGAATTCAAAATTAAAAAGACAGATTTTTAACATTGAAATAAAACATCATTGCAAAATCAGTTTTCTTTAAAACACCCTAGAAGACTTAAAACGTACAGGCTGCTGTATTAGTAATTTTTTTCACAGGAAACTACACCCTCACGCTCAAAGAAAACAGGGAAACAGCATTGTAATAATTATCTGATTATAAAAAGCCTGACAACATATTTGAACAAGGAGGAGGTTTTGGTGAGGTCCACTTACTTTCGCAATAGAAATAGTTTGTTGTTCCATGGCTTCGTGAATAGCCACACGATCATCCTCTCTCATTTTATCGAACTCATCGATGCACACAGCACCGCCATCTGCTAGGACCATGGCACCTCCTTCCATCACAAAATTACGCTGAAAATAAAATTTGCGAGCATGATTAGAAAATCAGGTGAAATTCACGAAAGCTTCGTGAGAGGAAGTTGAAATTTTGTTAGCTGTGCAACTGAATGAATTAATTGAAATTGCAAACAAATTTTAATGGAGCTACAAATATTAAATATTGAGTCAAGTATAATGCATGAAATAAAAGGAGACATGAATGAATGCAAAACCCTATAAAAGGAACTTTTAAATGCAAGGCTTGATGAAAAAAATGCATGATCGGGGCTACACCATTTCTCCGAAGACTTCCTTTCTCACTGTTCATATACCTAAGTGATATTACTCAAAATTTCATGATCATACCATACTTTTGAAAGTCAGTGTGGCCAAAGTCAGAACCCGTGTATCTTCATTGCGATGTTTTAAAATTGTTGTTCCTGTTAAATTTTTCGAATAAGTACAAGCCGAGTTTATAGTTTGAAATTTACACAAAATACTCAGCCGTCAAATAAGAGGCTCCAAGGAATTTTTTGCAAAATAACATTGACTCGCTTTCCAGAGAAAATATAAAAGATGACAGGAAGTCTGCAACACCACAAACAGATATACAAAATTTTGCACTTTGACCATCGATATGGAATTTTTCCTGAAGAAAAGCTTTCTCTTACTGTAACAGAAAAAAAAACCTTGAGCAAAATTGTCTCGCAAAAGCCAATTTGTCACTCATGCTGTTTTCCCACCAACATTCTCGAATGCCTTTTCCCAAATTTTCCCAAAACCTAACTCAAGCAATCAAAACTGAACTAAATTAGTCTTTCCATAAAAGCACTTCTTAGAAATTTTGCTTTATTAGATTAATAGTATTATTACCGTTGCAGGATCCCTAGTGACTGACGCAGTGAGACCAGCGGCTGAGGATCCTTTGCCTGATGTATAAATTCCGATGGGCGACACTCGTTCCACAAACTTCAAGAGCTGGGACTTGGCTGTACCAGGGTCTCCAAGAAGTAAAACGTTGATATCACCACGCCGTGTCAGACCGTCTGGTAACCGTTTCCTTGAACCTGTTGAAAGATTGACAGTTTAACAGATTGCTGCAGACACAAGAGATGGATGAGTACCACAGTATTAAACAATTTGCTTCTGTGAATCCAAGCTTTCCTTTTCAGGTGTCGACAATCTCTTGCTCATTAACCCTGAGCAATCAAATAATGCAGGTTGTTTGTCAAAATGTGCTTATTTCATTTACCACGAGCAGGGTTCAACAGAAAGTTCAGTGCTTTTTCAGTACTTTAAAAAAAAAAAAAAAAATCATGGCAAAAATGATGTAGCCTTGAAGTTTAAAGACCATTGATGGCCTGAGGATCAACTGCCTGCACAATCGCGATCTACCAAATACTGCACTGAAAATCAACATGCAAGGAATTGCATAATTTCTGGACTGTCTTTAAAAACACGCATAGCCTTCCACACAATTTTCGTACTTCATAATTGCTTTGTTAAAAAAGTAGAACAATTTTCAGGACTTACTGGATTTTCTGAATCAGAGGATACCCTGCATATGGAGAGGCTGCAAGAAAAGTCTGAGTCATTTTAAGTCAAAATAGATAATAATTGTTTATTCAGTTGTCATCTAAGGCTTACCCCCGAACAACAAGCAAGCAATTGCTTTCTTGATATCTTCAAAACCAAAAATGCTAGGAGCGATCGATTTGGCGATTCTGTCGAAAACATTTGGAGAGGATGCTAATCTTCGGAAGAGTTCCTCCTCTTCAGTTGAGATTGGAATTGAGGAAGAGCTGAAACCAGACTTTTCAGAGTCCATGTAAATTCCAAGAACGTGAAGGTAAGGCGCTTGAACACCGGCGTTGCTTCTTTGACTGCCTTTGTCTCTCTGATAAGATACAAAAAAAACAATACAATAGACAATTTGTAAGCAGTTACATATTGATGACATGATATTTCTTCCGAGTTGAAAGGCAAGAATGTAATGAGGACCAAGTTTTGAACTGTCCAAGGTGTCTGAAGAATAGAACGAAAGGATTTCCTGACTTTCCCAAGTTTTCCATGACCAAAATAATCACATTCCTTGACTTTCCACATCAACAATTTGTACATGTAGAACTAGATAGTAGATATCAGTGGTCATAGTGACTTCCATGAGAAAACAAGACAACTCAGAAACACATTGATGCATGAAATAATGAGGTAGATTTTGGACTTAATTAATACCAACTATTATCATTTTGTGAAGTAATAATTCATACCTTGGAGGGTCGTGCCATTTTCTTGATGGACAAGATACCATGGATGATGACCCTGTTGCCTGGTACAACTCTCTCGCACAAATATCTGAAAAAGACAAAACAGATGGAAATAATGAGATTTGAGTGTACATTACTATCAGCTTAGCATAGTACTTACGTACAACAAATTGCTGATTTGTCGAACTTATTGTCATCGTGACGCTTGCTAAAACCAAAGATTTGAGGCTACTCACCGATCGACGTATAACTGAAGATGACGAGGCATTTCTCCTTGCGGTATGGAATCGTTCAGTTCCTGCATTTTCAAAAGTTGAAAGTCTACACATTTACACTTGTCAGGCATTATGAAGTAAGGATCGAGCGGACACTTTGGCCGACCAGCTTGGTCCCTGAAAAAGTCAGTAAAATGAGCAATGAATGATACACAGAAAAAAGGAAAAAATAATTGGATACAAATGAAAAAAAATCTGCTTTACTCAAGGCGAATCCACACATGTCAGCCATTGTGCAATTTTCTAAGATTTATTCTATTGCCTGATCATCACTTAACAGCAGCCAGTGTGATTTAGAATTGGCTTCTTTCATGAGAAATACATACATTGCATTTAACTTCCGACCGTCAATGCACAGTAGGGTGTCAAATTGTTATTTTATGATATGAGATGAAATTAGATGTGATAAAAGAACAGTTAGTGTAATCTACGTTGTTCATAAAAATTAAATGTCAATTATGTATAAAATCCTGACAATGGCAAAAGCCGAAAAGCGTGCACTTATTTGACCATTGAAACCTGTTGACATTCAAGTTTCGACTTAATTACTTTTTATGCACTGGCTACCCCAAAACCATAAATTAAAATTAATGTTTACAAGGAGTTTAAACCTCTTTCCCTTTACTTTAAACTTATTGTGGCTCCATTCTTTTCTGCTCAATTCTGCTCAATTAAGAGATTTGAACAATTGAAATCACTACTTTCATTTTTCATGCGGTAGTTGAAAATTCTCCAACACTTTATTAACATGATTTGAAACTTCTTTGCTAGCTCATCAGTTCATGTTCAAAAAGTAGAAAATATGTGGCAGAAATATTGAACTTACATGTTACATTTCCTTGGCATGACATATCCACCAAGTCCAGGTTTGACATTCAGATTCGGGATAATGTTGCGGCATGATCGGCACTGAAGGGAGATCTCCAACGCTTTGGCTTTGATTCCTGACGCAGAGACAATTATACCAGGAACACGCACCAAATGCGACACAATGTTGGACTGTAACAAGAAACCAAAGATGTAGAGCGTGCTACTAGGAGAGTACAGTTGGAGAAACAGTAAAAAATGTAACAATGTTGACTCCAAAAATGTAATGAATTATAGTCTCCCTCATAATATAGTAAGGTGTAGTTATGGGTCCATTGCAACGTGTCTTTAGATGTGAACTCTAACGAGACCTGGAGGTGATCACAAAAATTACAAAAAATGTTAAGAGTTATCACTCTCAAAACCGGTAGGTAAAACAAAATAGGAGCCATACCTGTAAGAAACTACAGAGGAGTTGCAGCTGACTCAAATCAATTTCAATTTTTTATTTAGCATGTTGGATAAAACAAGTTAAAATTTTGTAGTTAGTGAGTTTTGTGGCTCCAAAAAAATTGACACCACAGAGCTGCTAACTGGGTTTTTTAAGCAGGTTTTATTGAAAAGTTTACTTTGAGACAGGCATTCCTTAAAAATTTAGAGATTCCTTTTTTTTAAAAAAAAAAAATGGCGCTATTTTCATTTACCAAAGGTTTTCTGTCACATTATCATTTACTTTATTCTGAAAATAGATGATACGCACATGATCAGCACATTTTTCTGATTGTATTTATCAGTGCAATATTTGGTAAACATACAATCTGTTACATCTCAGGAACTTTCATCAATTTCCTCTAATCTTGGCAATTACAGGAGCAGTCATGCCCACACAATATGAAAACTTAAGAAAGTTTGCCTGCATTTTGACTATTGGAAGCGTCATTTCAACTGAGCCAAAAAGTCAGAGTTTGAACTTTTAAATGGCAACTCAACCATCCTGCCTCACAATGAGTTTCGACTGGCATGAGGTCTATTCCTGCTAGATAAAAGAAAGGGATGGCTTTATCCACCATAAGAGTGGATCTTGATAGAAATTCAGAATACTGTAAAGGGATGTTACCTTCAATTCTCTCATGGATATGCATTCATCATTTGATGAAAGTAGTAACTGCATGTCTTCCACATCCTCTTCGCCTTCTGGGCGAGGTGATGTCACCTCATCAGCAACTTCTTTCAGCCCTTCTTCCAGCTGTAAGTAAAAATAATATAAAACAGATTAAAAGGAGCTATTGACATTGTTTCTTGCGACAGAGAGAGAGAAAATGAAAAAGGAGAAAAAGTGAGAGAAAAGGCAGATATTGAGAAAAAAATTGAGCCATTGAATTAGAGTGGAATTGCATTGTTCACTCCACAAACTAGTATCAAGTTACGGAAAATATAAGGGAGATGAGTACAAAATGCAGTCTTCAGGCTTCATATGAAAAGAGCAAAGAATTCTTCGAGGCATTGCGAGTGCTTCCAGGGGCTTTCGTACCTTTAAATCAATTCAAAATTTGACAGCAAGGCTGGATTTAAACCTTAATGACTTCCTCCTATGGAAACAACTTACCACAGGCACCAATTCTGATGGTTGCTTGTATAGTTTGTCAGCAAGGTTTTCATCAAAATGGGCAATATCTTCAATATTCACATCCAGCCAGTATCGCCGCAAATTGTAATTTCTCTTCAGGGCATCTCTGAAAAAGATGACAAGATAAGATGAGCATTGAATGAGGAGGAACCAAGAACATCAGATCCAACAAATAAAAGAACTCGCATTGGATAAGCAGGCAGTTGCTAACTCTGGACTGTCGCGTGCAACAGACAGTCCAGAGTTAGCAACTGCTGGCTAACAGAAAGTAAACAGCTACAAACTTATCTGACAGGAGTCAGACCTACTGTGAAAGCTACATTCCATCGACGCTGAGAAAAAATTCTTACTCTCCTTAACAGAGGATGCATGTCCATCTTACCAGCCATGCTTACACGGGCATTTCATTTCTAACAGGATGAATGCATGATTCACAATTCGACTTGAGAGATATGCATTGGAACCTTCGAGTAAGCATCATACCAACTTGCAAATTCAACTCCAAACAGAGTCCATACATCCTAACTAGAAATGCAATTTTAATCTACAGAATCGCATTGAAAACATCAGAGCAGGTAAACCTGCTTTGAAAGCAAATGAAAGTGAATTCACTATTAAATCAACTCTTTTAAACTACATTTTTCTTTCGACATGAACTGTAAAGTTTCCTTTCAATCAGGACTATAAGAAGAGTCACTTGTCGGATACGAATGCAACCAAAACTGGATAGGTATCACTGTGATGTTTGAGTTTGAATATCTTATATCAATGCAGGATGAATACAGTAGAAAAACAAGGGGGAACAATCGGGAAACAAGGCTAAAATACACACTTAAAAAACCAAGACTTTTCGACTCATAACTGAATCATTTTCAGTCGGAAATGACTAAGTTATGGGTCGAAATGACTCGGTTTGTTAATTGTGTACCTAAGTCTTGTTCCCCGTTTGTACCCCCCTGTTGTTCTACTGTTACCGTTGTCTTGGGCTGCTCCATAAAAATTTGTATGCATGATGCATCATTGTTTCATAATTCGCACGGATAGATTCAGATAGATGTGAGCACTCTCATCTCGCGATGAGAGTGCTCACAAAAACGTAGCTCAGGAGAATGTAAGTGAGGCTTCCCAAGAATACGGTATACCTTCAGATATCTCAATGGATTGACATGAAAATGAGTCATGAGGCTCGGGATGCTTGCATGAGATAAGCTTAGTCTGGTAGTTTGAGTTCATACCTGTATTTGTAGCTAAAGTTGCCTTCATGGAACTGCCTGATGAAGTCCTTAAACTTTTTCTTGATACCCTGAAGATTTACTTGTCCACCGCTCTGATTATCATCGAAATTGTCGGAGAAAAAGACTCCAGCATCATCAAAACAATCCATGGTTGGAAGCGAATGTCGATTGCTTGGGACGACACAATCAGGATAAAGACAGGACTATATCACACAGCTGAGGAAAGTATAGCGGTAAATGAGAGACGAAAACGGATTAACTGAATAAAATGAGATCAAAATTATTAATAATTTAAATAAATTCCTGATACAACAAAATAACGTGGGAAGAAAGAAAAGAAAACAAAAGCAACAAGTTGTAGGTTAGAATCGCGTTGAAAAGAGCGGGAATTGGCGGGAAATGACATGAGCGGCACGACCAATAAACAACCCAGAATGAGGTCATATGATTTTCGGCCAATGAGAATTTTAAAGTAAGTGCACGGTCGAAGAGCGCGTAAATACAAAAGTTCGCTCTTTTTTCGGACTAGCGTAAAATTCTGAAACTGGAACATCTGCGCTCTCACATGAACTTTCGGCCAAATTTTCATTGAGATTTTTTCTATCAGGTAAAAAAATAAGGAACGGACAAAAAACTGTGTTTAAACAAGAGATTAGTGTTAAATATTCTTCATCAAAAGCTTCCTTCCTATTGTGGCTTTGTGCCGTAGTATCTTAATTTATTTTGCGAGGAAACCTCTGTTTTCTTAAAGGGAGCCTGTCATTCTTGATACGTTGGCGCGCCTTGAATTTCTCACAACACCTCTGTCGTGAAATAGTTCCTTGAAGCGACGTCCCGCGTCCGCGGCGTGCGGGCAACCAGCGTTACATGCGCATAGCGCCTTCAAACCTAACAGAGATACTTCACGCATTGCGCAATGCGTGAAGTATTCCTGTTAGGTTTGTAGGCGTCAGGCAGCACGCCGCTGAATGACCCACTGGACCACGCACAATTGTTCCAGCGCCTAAGATCTATAAAACTCGATGGTGAAAGTGCAAAAGAGTTTATCTCGATTTTTGACAGTTTTTAATAGTTAGATGCTTAAACGTGTTGTTGCAGATGTCGTCTATCTGCCAGCCAGAGATTATAATCGAAAAAAAATCGGGAAGTTACCTAAAACCGTAGAACTTGTTTCGCGTATCTCGTTCTGGCCCCTTCATTTAATTCGGAGCGCCTTACGCACACCGCGCGCTCCTCAGCGTTTCCCGCCAACAGCGCATACAACAGCTATGATCTACTGTTCTGTGTTTTTATTTATTCTCAGGAATTCGCTGGTTTGGAAAAGTTGCGAAACGCTTATCACTCGATGGCCCTCCAGTATCATTTCTTCTTAGGTACCCAATTACTAGCGGCGCGCGGCGTTCATGTCCATTTTTCACTCGCTGGGCCAAAACAATCATGAACTGACGGTACATCACAACGATTAGTTGTACCAGAGTCAATCGAGTCAATTTTCATCCACCGTACTGAATCAGCTGAAGCTTCTGAACAAGTTTGAAATATGAATAAACTCTATCTTTCATCTTAATGATCAAGGGCACTTTCAAAACGCTAATTGTGTAAATGCGTATCTCGTGATCAAATGACATTTTCCAATCATACAATGTTTTATCCGGCCGTATGAGATCAAACTAAAGCTTCTGATAAGGAATTGTAAGAGTGAGGCTCTTTTTACAATGTTTAAATCAGCCAAATCCACCAACAACAGGTTTAAAACAGTAATTGCAAAAATGCGTATCTCGTGATGAAGTGTCAATTCTCAGTGCCGAACACGCGAATCTCGGCATTTCTGCCGAATTTTCTGACAATTCGAGAAATTATTCAAAATGCTGAGCGAGTCTAAAAAAGCATATTATTCTTGCTATCCTCAAAAATTATTACCCTTCTACTAACAATAAAGAGGAATGTAGACAGTTGTTTTTACTCTCCTGGAAAATCTTGTTTTCCGAGATACGCACTTCTGCACTTTCACCATCGTTATGCTCTTATCGTTTCAGTGGAAATAAAGCGCGCAATTCCTCCAAACTTCGAACTAGCTTTGTTCTATGATGTCAGGTGGAAACGAAGGATAATCTTAGCTTTTCACTTGTTTCAAATCACTGACGTTTATAAGTGGACTGCATTTTGCAATTTGGAACTATACATTCTGGCTCATCTGAAAAAACACTTATGTGCACAGGGAAACTATAATGGCGTTGTTTTTAAACCGGACCAGAATTTATAGTTCCTATTTGCAAAATGTAGTCCAAATGTACACATTATGCTCGCATCGTTAAAGACGGAAATCAAGCGCACAACCATCTGAACTCCGGGCTCAGTCGGAATTGGTATATGATGTGGTATCACGAAGAAACGAAGGAAAATCTTAGCATTTTACTTTTCTCAAATCACCATCATTTATGAACGTGGCCAATCGTTGCAGCGAAACTTGAGCGTTTAACCAGGTATATGATACGGTATCACGTGGAAATGAAGGAGAATCTTAGCTTTTCGCTTGTTTCAAATTACGGAGCTTAGAATGTAGGCATTATGATCGCATCGTTGATTGCGAAAAACTAGCGCGCAAACTACTCAACCCTCGGCCGGATTTACGTGATTTTTGCCTCTCGACTATCAAGATTTGTCCACCCCCACGACTTTGGAGGGGGGGGGGAGGGGTCACGATTTTCGTAAATTACGTACCCGACACATTTTTATATGCAGATTTTCAGACTTTTTCATATATTTGGGATAGAATCGCCACTTTGCCGCCAGCGGCACCGTGTTTGCGGCAGCGCCCTATAGGTTCAGTTACACGATCAAATTGAGCCATCAAACTAAAGCTCCGATTGGTGGAAAAAGACCTGAGGTGAGTATGCGACCAATGAGAGGCCCAATTTGATGGCTCAATTTGATTGTGTAACTGGACCTTATCTTCGTTTTTCTCTTCGCACATTTCGTCCCCTACCTGACATAAAGGCGTAACTACACTCTGCAGTGAACCCTGCCCTCCATTCAATTCAACGCCTCTCCAGGATCATCTAAATATGCAGTTAGGCCCTTTTGTCAGCCAAGCGACAATTTTATGCCGCTCTTGGCCGCTTATTTATAAATCCGGCCATGGTCAAGTTTCTTTGGGACCTCAAACCTCGTTTTCGTGAAAATCCTCCTGGGTCCTATTCTGCCGTGCTAAGGAAAAACGCCGTATAAACCTGCGAGCGTTGCCAAATTTCTTTGGATAAAACATGAATTTTCGAGGAAACTTGGAAATATCTTTCTTCTAATTTTTCAGATAATTTTGTTCGCAATTTCACCTAAAGCTCCTGAAAATTTCAAGGAAAGATATTCATAAATTTCCGTAAAATAAAAAGTTTATTGGAGGAAATTTGGCAACTCTCGAATGTTCATACGGCGCTCTTCCTTAGCACGGCAGTATTGTTACGGCCAGAGTTTGCATCGGTGGAATAATTGCTGGCCATAGAAATGGCCCATAACTTTTTTTTCAGCACTAATACGATTTTTGACGTTTTGTCTGAAAATATGTTCCCTTTACGTTCTTTTTCATTTATTCTGAGGATGATTTTACAACTTGTTCGATGTGCCCTGTCATGCAGTCACTTCTGGTTTTTTTTTTTTTTTTTTTTTTTTTTTTTTTTTTTTTTTTTTTAAATGTTCAGTAGGTGTTTTATTGATACATTGATTGTGTTGCTCCAGACATTATTTGTCTTCAATTAATGTAATTACCAAATCTTTATTAAAATAAAAAATAAATAAATTAGTAGGTAAATAAATGAAAAAACCTATTTAAAAGTACTTTAAAGGAAACTGCGGAATTTCTCTTCAAAATTATACTGCGTGAAAATCCTTAATAACGTGACAAATTCACGTGAAAGCAACAGGAACACCTGACCGGCCGTTCATGCCTTAGTTGATGGTTGTTTTAGTGATAAACTGCTGATTTTGTCAAAAATGCATGCATGATTAATGACAGATTTCAAAATAAAAGCGCAATAACTAAACGTTGGGTTCAAAGGCGAAACTATTGCGTCGAGGCTGTAGTCATTTTCTTATGTGTTTCCTCGTATCATTCAATTTCATTCATAATATCTTCGTCATCCCATTGACTTGCCGCAAAGATGCTGCAGATTACAATCTTACCACTGGACTACATTTCCAAACAATATTGCGGCAAGTTAACAAAAGGCACAAATTTTAACCAGGATCGAAATCTTACCGCAACCTTGCAAACTTAGTATCCCTGCTAAAAATGACGAGTAGGCTAATCAGAATTCGCCAACTCACATGAGCAGAACTTCCTACAATGAGTAGAAATCCTACTCATATGAGAAGAAATTCTACTCATATCACTAGAATACTCTACTCATAAGAGTAGAAAAGTTGAACTCATATGAATTCAATTTTTTTCATTTTTCAGAAACGCTGTCTCTGACCAGGAGACACCGACATAGCATGTAAATTTGAAAAATAAAAAATGTTTGTTCTTGTGATTTTGTTTATCCGGTCACTAGTTTCTCTGATATCGGACACGGTAGATTCAACGCTGAACTCATGTGAGTTGAAATCTCTAGTCATTGAAGTTGGCGGAAACTGGATGGAGAAATTCTGCTCATATGAGTTAAATTCTATTCATATAAGTTGAAATTCTATTCATATAAGTTGAAATTCTATTCATATAAATTGAAATTCTATTCATATAAGTTGAAATTCTATTCATATGACTTTGATTTTCTACTCATTTGTACTCACCAGTTTTAGCAGGGATAGCCTAGGTATATCAAAATCAGGGCCGGATTAACCTACTTGCCGCCGATGGGCCGCCTGTATTTTGCCGCCCCCTTCTCATTCGTTTTAAAACATCAATAAAAACCATCAAGTGAATGTGCCGGAAGAGGAGGGGTGCATAAGACGCGTTTACCTACTCGTGTTGGATATATTTTTTGCGAAAGCCCTGTCAACACTACTGGCAAAATTTCACGGAACTTGACGCGAAAGTTAACTTCCATAAACCTATCTCTGTGTGGACAAGGTCCTCCATTTATAAGAAATGAACCAAAAATTATGAAAGAACAAACATAAATGTGGTTTAATAATTTTAACTTCCGCCGCTGCGCCGCGCTGATCGCACTGTGTTTGGCGCAATGCGTGAAGTATTCCTGGAGTCTTGTGGGCGCTTTGCGTTTCACGACAACTGCTCCTGACCGCACTGTGTTTGGCGCAATGGGTGAAGTATTCATGCAGTCTTGTAGGCGCTAATATGTGTCACATGCCGACCGCTGCGCCGAGGGCTTGTCCTTTTCATCTCAAGTCCTCGTCATCATTCCT